GGCCACCTGGCCCCAGGTCCTTGGGTGACCTCATAAGTGGAAAAGATGGAGCAGTGAAGGGCAGGTCCTGATGCACAAGGCAGCCCATTGGGGCCTGCAGAAGACACTTGGCAGAGGAAGAACAGAATAGATGAGACAACTACCCCAGCCAAACAACGGCAGCAAAAATCTGGTCAAATGGGAGACTGTAAGGTCAACTTTGCCAGCCAATGGACATTGGAAGGGCTTCCTCATCCTTGGTCTGGCAAAATCAAAAGCACTTCAGAAATATCGAAACCACTTGAGCCGAACCCTTGGAGCGTGCGCCACACTGGGACCCGGGGTTGATCCTGGGTGGCCTTTCCCCATCCCCAGGTACTGTGGTGGTTGGGAGGCTGGGCATGGCTCATGCCCTTTTCTATTCTCTTCCCCCCGAAACAGAAAGAGGAAGTAGAAAATTTTGAAACAATGATCACACCTACTTTTCCCTAACCCGAGATCCTTGCTACCCTGATGAACTATGTAAACATTCAAAATAAAAACAAAACATGGAAAACTCTTCCTTGCACATGGATTGAGAGAATCAATATCTTCCAAGTGTCCATATTAGAAAAATGATCTATAGACAATGGGATTCCAGTCAAAATCCCTATGACTTCTTTTTTCTCAGAACTTGAAACAATGATGTTGAAATTCATACTGAGACCCCAAACAGCTAAAGAAATCCTAAGTAACACAAACAAGGCTGCAGACACCAGACCTGAAGACATCCACAGGGCAGTGGTAACGAACAGCCTGTACTGACGCAAGGGCAGACACGCAGAGCAACGGAACCCAACAGAAGTTCCAGAAATGAGCCCACTCAGCTATAGCCAACTTACTTTTGACAGCAGAACCAAAATCCAGGCAGAAGGACAGCCTCCTCAACAAAAGCTGCTACCTTACACACACACAAAATCAACTCTAAATGGATCAAGGATCTAAATCCACAACCTAACAGAGAAAAGCATTACTAGAGAAAAACATCAGGAGCATTCTGCAAGCCATAGGTGTAGGCAAATACCTCATGGAAAAGACCGCAAAAGCACAAGAATTACAGCAAAATAAACAAAAGGAATTTCACGAAGCTAATAAGCTTCTACACTGCAAACGAGACAACCAACAGAAGGTGAGAAAACAATCATAAACTACACAGCAGATAGAGGACTAATATCCAGGGTCCATAGAGAACTCCAGAAACTCAACAACAGCAATCCAATTAACAAAACGAACAAACAATCCAGTTAAGAAAAGAGCAAAGGACATGAACAGGCACTTTTCTAAAGATGAAATCCAGGGGCTGGCACTGTGGCATAGCAGACTATGCTTTGCCCCAGGAGGCTGCAACCCGTGGGGATGCAGGTTCATGTCCTAGCAGGTCAACTCCTGCTCCAGCACTGTTCATGGACTGGGAAAACAGAAAAGTTCAAGCGCTTGGCCTCTGCACCCACATGGGAGACCTAGAAAACCTGGCTCCTGGCTTCAGATCAGTTCAGCTCCAACTACTGTGGCCAACCCGGGAGTGAGCCAGCAGGTGGAAAATGTCTCACTCTGTCTCTCCTTCTCTCTGTGAATCTGCTTTTCCAATAAAAATAAATCTTGGAAGGAAGAGAGGGAGGAAAGAATCAAAGAAGGAGGTAGGGAGGAAGGAAAGAAGAAAAAGGAATCCAAGTGGCTAACACACATATCCAAAAACGCTCAAGGTCTTTAGCTATCAGGGTAATGTAAAAATCCAAACCACAATGAGATCCCACCTAACCACAGCAAGACTGGCCATGATACACAAATCCAAAACAGTCAATGCTAGCGGGTATGTGGGTAAGGCAGGTAAGGTACCCTGAGCCACGCTGCTGGCAGTATAAGCTAGTACAGACACTATGGCAGGCAGGAAGGGGACTCCTCAGCACGCTGGAAACCGCTCTACCATAGGACCCAGCCATCCCATCCTCGGGGATACATCCAAAAGGAATGAAATCTGTATAGGAGAGTTATCTGCAACCTGTTTACAGTGAAGATAGAGAACCGACCCAGGCGCCTGCTGACTGATGACTGGATAAAGAGATGCAATACACACAAACTGCAGAGTTCTACTCAGCCATAAAACAAGAATGAAATGTTATCACTTGCAAAAAATGACCCAGCTGAAAGCCATTATTTTTAGTGAAACAAGCCATCCCCAAAAGACAAATATCATACATTCTCTCTGATCGGTGACAACTAATACACAGCACACCACAAACACAACCTCTATGAGATCAGCACACGGGGAGGTCACTGCTAGGTACAGCAAGAGTCCACAGTCAAGAGCAGCAGTAGGATTTCCATTTTGGTTTACTTTATTATGGGTGACCTTATTTCTCTTGTCCCACGTCCTCCACTTGCCACATCATATCTTTACATACTGAAAGGTTAAGCTTGTCACTGTGAAGCACATTAATATGCTATTGTAATAATTTGGAAAAAATAATAAGGGTGAAGATAGGGAAGAGGAGAAGAGGGTGGAACACTAGTCCTCAAAATTTAAATATACTCATTTTATATAAATATATATATTTTTGAATTTTTGAATGTTATGATACAATTCCATAGAGTCTGGGGTCCGTCCCCGGCCCTCGAATTCCCACCCCCGGGGCTGATTTTCCCCATATTGTTACAATAGTGTAGTCCTTCATGAGTCATGATTTCATCAGTCTGTTATTTGCATGTACTCTGACACTGCTGGTACAGAAAACACTACTCATTTTACATATATTTAAGAAAATTTTTTTTTAATAAGTGAGATTGTGAAAGGGAGGAAGGGCAGGGCAGGGCAGGAAGGTAGGTAGGTCAGTCAGTCTCAAGGACAGCCCTGGTCACAGCAACAACGCCTCTGGGCTCACCTAACTCACCTAGTATCAGGACCCCAGGGACCACCTCCCAGCTGTCCAGGCGTCACAGGGCTCAGCATGGTCACAGAGCTGCAATGTGTCCAGCAGAGGGACACCGGCGACAAGCAGCAGACAGAGGCCTGGGCATGAAGTGTAGAGGAAAGCAAATTTCTCCAGTGCGTCACACAGGCCAGGCTGAGCTCTCCCAGCAACAGGAGGGGAGAGTGGACCGCTGGGCAGGAGAGCTGCTTGCAGACAGCAGCGCCGGCCCCGCAGGCACCTTGCTCTTCCCCAGTGCCAGACACCCTGCAGGAGAGTGGACGCAGCACACGCCAGCCAATGGGCCAGTGGACCCACAGAGACCTGCTCTCACTCCATTCTTTGGGCACACGACTGTCCACAGTTCCATGGCCCAGGGCCTCAGCTGCAGCCTGCCTCATCAGCTCTCTCCTGCACTCACCTCTCCAGCGCAATGTCACCAAGATACTTCCTCCTGATCTGCTAGCTCCAGCAGCACACAGGAAGCCCGGTGTGCAATATGGGAATTCTGCAAGGCTGTCAGTTCACAGCTGCGAACCACCAGGAGCTACAAGACATGGGTGGGGCCAGCCTGCAACAGCAAAGTCAATGCCAGCTCTTTTTTCCAGGCCCTGCCCTCTCAACTCCTCCGTACTCTCCAAGACTGCAGACTCTGAGCACTGTCACTTCCTTCTCCTAAGCATTCTCGCCAATATAGTCAAAGACCAGAAAGCTGAGGTTCATGAGACACAAGAATTAAATAACTCACACATTACATTCCTTAAAAAAAAAAAAAAGCATGGTTATTTTTTTAAGATTTATTTTATTATTATTGGAAAGTCAGATATACAGAGAGGAAGATCTTCTGTCTAGATCTTCTGCCTAGTGGCTAAGGCCCTTGCCTTGAATGCACCAGAATCCCGTATGGGCACTGGTTCTGATCCCGGCAGCCCTGCTTCCCATCCAGCTTCCTGCCTATAGCCTGGGAAAGCAGTCGTGGATGGCCCAAAGCCTTGGGACCCTACACCTGCGTGCAGAGGAAGTTCTTGGCTCCTGGCTCCTGGCTTCGGATCGGTGCAGCTCCAGCCACTGCATCTCCTTGGGAAGTGAATCAACAGACAGAAGATCTTCCTCTCTGTATATCTGACTTTCCAATAATAATAAAATAAATCTTAAAAAATAATAATAATAATAATAATAAATAAGGTAAGTTGGGGCTGGCATGGTGGTCTAGCAAGTTAAGATTTCACTGCAATCCCAGGATCGCACAGGCGTGCTGGTTCAAGTCCCAGCTGCTCCACTTCCAATCCAGCTCCCTGCAAATGCTCCTGGGAAAGTGGAAGCTGCCCCACTACTTGTGCCTCTGCTATGCATGTGGGAGACCAGGAAGGATTTCCTGGCTCCTGGCTCCCAGCTTCAGCCTGGTCCAGACCTGGCCTTTGCACACAGCTGGGGAGTGAATCAGCAGATGGAAGATTTTGTGTGTGTGTGTGTGTGTGTGTGTGTGTGTGTGTGTGTGTGTGTGTGTGGCTCTGCCTTTCAAAGTAAGAAATCCCAAATACCCAATGGTTCTGCATCTTTCCAACTGCAACTTGAGTGAAGACTGTGGACTGCCTCGGGGTCCGATGACACACTGACCCTCCTGCACTGGTTTCTCCGTGTTGAGAATGATGTGACTGAGCAGAAAACTAACATTTCAGAGCTGTTTCCCAGAATTAGGGTCATGTGTGTATTTCCATTACGGTGCACTCTGGAAAGACACCATTGCTTCCAACAGATTCATCTAGGTACCAACATCACGGTACGCCGTGTGCATACAAGCTCTGGACACCAGAAGAGAGCTGGGTGTGTGGGCAGCAATCGCTCTCCAATGTGCTTCTAGGGTCGGCAGGTGTGGCTAAGAAAGTCCCGGTCCTGAGGAAGCACAGCAGGCGAGGACCAGCTGGGCGATCTGCAAAGGTGACCGGCCTCCGACCCACAAACACAGATATTCCTTAAGTCAGATTATCATAGTGAAGGACGCAGTGCAAACCAAGATGTTAACTGAGAAAGAAGAGGGGAAAAGAGCAGAAAAAAAGGAAAAAAGTCTGAACTCACCGGGACTGTGGCAATCCTTTTTTACTGAGATCTGCCCTCACACGTTCTCCTACATGTCTGTAAATTTCCACTAAGCTGTTTATGGCTGCATCTCGAACCTAGATGTAAAAGAAGAGATCTTACAGCTGCTCTGTGTCAGAACCAGCACTTAGCTTTCTGCTGGGGCCACCAGGCCACTCAGCACCCCACCTCACAACCAAGTCACCGGGCCCTCACCAAGAACACCATCCCTCGCACGGGTGTGACCAGGAAAGCCTTGTGGGACACTCAGCTCTGGGGCAGTGAACATGCAGGTCCCACCCCTGTGTGCAGGTAAAAAAGCCCACCTCCCTTAGGGGTTTCCACTCTGAAGATGTCAGGAAGCCTAGTTGAGAAATGGTACCACAAACACAAAGGAGTCACTAAAACTGAAACATTCTAGGTTTAAGTCAGTTCAATCAATACTTCACAGGCAAAAGAAGTGGGTAGTGCTGGCTACAGAGCCCCACGTTAAGCAGCTCACAGTCCAAGGAGATGGGGCGCAAGCCCATACATTCCACACTGAATCCACAGCAAGATGCAGCAGACAGCGCTCGTACAGTCTGGAGGAGGGAGCAGGCAAGGCAGCCGAGAAGTGCTGCATGGAAGAGGAAGAAGCTGCTGGGGGTGCGCTGGCAAGGACTTTCCCAGGTCCCAGGCAAGGGATGGCCTGGGCAAAGGCGCGAAAGCAGGGCTTCGGGCACAGGCTGCAGGGACGGCCAGATGCAAACAGCAACCCAGAGAGTGGGGCCTAGAAACATAACATGATGTGTGGCCATGCGAGAAAATATCCTTGCTATGGGGTGACTCCCACTAAAGCGCTCACGGTTAAAAAGGGACCAGTACGCCTGCTCCGGATGCAGGCCATGTCCCTGTGGCAACATGTGCACACGCAGAGGTCCAGAAAGACCACACTGTGCTGGAACACTAACTGCTACGCATGTGTCCAGCAGACTGCTGCTTCTCTGGGGGAAAACCACGTTTGTTATAGAGTACAAGCAAGGCCAAGTGCTACGGGGGGTGCTGCTTCACTCACGAGGCAAGCTGGATTTGTTACCTAACAATGAAATCACAGTAGTGAGGAGTGAACAGGGTGACCAGCAAGAACCACAGTTTGGAACTCTGTAGGCGGCCTCTGACCTAAGTGCTGTGGGTCAGGCACCCACGGCCATCCTCTTCCTCCTCCTGGTGGGAAAGGCGGCTCCTAGGCCACCTCATCTTGCCACTTACACTGCTGCACTATGCACTGAGTTTTCAAAGTCCTCCCCTCCAGGTTCTAACAGGCAAGCCCTGACCCCAGTGTTGCTGACTTAGAACCAGGAGCAGAGGTAAAATGAAGTCCCAATAGTGGGACCCTGCAATGAGAGGACCAGTGTCCCATTCAGAGACACCAGGGAGCTGCACACATACAAGGAAGAGGCCGTGGGAGCCACTTCGGTGAGCCAGGAAGGCAGCTCCTGGGAACATGAGCAGGCCAGGGCCCTCGTCCGACTTCCTGTTACGGAAGCTGGAATGGACACAGGGTGTCCTGTGAAGGCCACCGAGGCCTACACTCGTGGCAGAAGTGGTCAGTGCTGCTGGGTCTGCAATATCGGTACTAAGTAGCTCCCTGCCCCTGTCTGTTGCTAACATCAGCTGAGAGCAACCCCTCAGGTGGACGCCCTAAAGAGCAAACCATATGGGGCCAGCACCATGGCGTAACAGGTTAAGCATCCACCAGTATGGGACTGATTCAAGTCCCAGCTGCACCACTTCTGATCCAACTCCCTGCTAATGTGCCTGGGAAAGGAGCCTGCGATCACACAGGAGACTTGGAAGAAGCTCCTGGCTCCAGCCATCGTGGCCATTTGGGGAGTGAATCAGTGGCTGCAAGATCTCTACCTCTCCTGCTCTCTATACATCACTTAAAAAAAGAAAACCAACAACGAAATGACTCAGCCGCTTGGGAAGGCTGAGTCCTAAGCACTTTAGAGCTTCAGAGTCCAATAAGCAGAGCTAGGGGCCTGCTGGGCCACTCAGGCACCATCCAGTCTTCAACTAAAGACTCGGACCCTCTTGGTCTCAGCTACCACCTGCGTGCCTGGGGTGCATCCCACAAAGATCTGTGTGCCCACTAGATGAACACAAGCAGGAGTGCCGCAAGGCCACTGCAGAGCACACTGGGTGTGGGATGACCCGTGGCACCTACTTGAGCCACACCAACAGTCAGCATTCGGTAGACACAACTGCACATGTGTGCCATGCACACACACACAAACACACCCTCCAGCCTGTAGGCTGACGGCAGCTGGCAGCACATATCTGCAAAAACGCAGACAATGGCTGGCATCCCTTGCATCTTTTAAAGCAAGAGCCATAGCCTTAAAACAGTGTTTCCTTGGACTCCGAGAGCTGCAAGGACGGCCAGCAGCTGAGTCTCTAGGCCGGCCTCACTAAAGAAACTCAGACACAGAACAAGAGTTCCTTTGGAAGCTCCAGCAGGGACGGCAAGTTTGCATGGAAACAATTTGCGAAAACCTGATGGGATGCGGTGCTTCTCCCCATCACTGCCTCTACATGGAATTCCTTAGGTGCCCCCAGAGTTCGGGTCACTGCGGGGGGAGGGGGGAGGCCAGGGCTCCCCTACACAGCACTACACCAGGATTCAGACAAGGCCCGGCAGAGCTGCAGTCTCCAGCACACACCACATTGCTTCCGCCTTCCGCACAGAGCTGCTGCCTGCTGGGCAAGAGAAGGACCTGGGAGCTGGCCAGACTAACCCTGCCCAGGTCTGTGGCTGGTGGGCACAGTGGCTGACTGGAGTGCAGGCACTGTCTTCCCAAGGAAATCAACACAAGCTCTGCCTACACAGAAAGAAACCAGGGCAGAGCTCGGCGCAGGGAGGGGCACTGGGAGGCAGTCAGCTGGCGGCCCTCCTGGGGCCCCAGCACGGCCAGGGCAGAGCTCAGCGCAGGAAGGGGCACCGGGAGGCAGTCAGCTGGCGGCCCTCCTGGGGCCCCAGCACGGCCAGGGCAGAGCTCAGCGCAGGGAGGGGTACCGGGGGGCAGTCAGCTGCCCACCCTCTGGGGCCCCAGCACGGCCAGCCAGCGAGGGTGCCCACGTGGGACTTTTCAGACTCCAGCCACCACCCTCACAGCATCCCCCCCACAACTGGGTCACATAGAGCAAAGACAGAACTCTGCAGCAGGTAGCAGGTCCCAGGAGGGGGTGCGTGGGGCAGTAGCTGGACAACAATTCCTGCCTGTGAGAGAACCGCACGGACACGAGCCCACTGGCAGGCGACCTGACGCTCTGGATGACTCCCTGCAACAGGAGGCATTTCTCAGCTGCTCCAGCATTCCCAAGCATCCCTGCCCAGAGCCTCCACGTCCTGCTCCATGCCATAGGCATCCTTTAAGGTACACGCGAGTCACAGTCCGTCTGCCACTGAGTCCACCAGACAGAAGCAGTGGCCCAGGGAGCCTGAGCACGTTCTCTATGCACTCGGCACCACGCTGTGGAGCTGCAGGCCGGCGGCTCTGCCAGGCTCCCAAGGGCAGCCCTCTCACAGCCCAAGTGCCTCTGCTGAGGAAAAATGCGTTCTATTTTACCCCAAAGATTCTGCAAGTCACCCCCATCTATAGAACTAAGCCAGAAAATCAGGGAAGAGTGCAACAAGGCAGACCCTTTCGTGGAACCTCGGGGAGCAGCCCAGTGCTGGGAGCGTGCTGCTAAGCCAGGATGTTCCCAGCAGAGGGCGCCAGAGGGGAGAAAAGGAGCACCGAGCAGCTGCAAGATGCAGTGCAGCTGCTAGGAACCTCTGCCATCTGGGATAACGCAGAGCCTGCCACATTCCAAGCAAGCAGAGACAGAGGCTACCAGGTCAGGATACATCAGGGGACAGTCCTAGCATCGTGATATGCCATCTCCACACTCTTCCAAAGGGTGCTGTTCAACCCAACCACAGACACAAGCCTGAAGGCTCAATACCAACCTCAAGGGACCACCTGCCCCCACCCACAGCCCAGCTACAGCATGCAGCAAGGTCCTGGGGAGCACAGGGGCTGTGAGGACCCCACTGCAGGTGCTCGCCGCCCCACCCATGCCAGCACATGCTGCTGTCCCCAGCTGTGTCTCCTGGGACTCTTTCTGTCACCTCGCAGCAGCAGTGTGTTGGGGAAAATCATGCCCCCTGCCAGGCCCAGGGCACAGGTGTGGCTGGCTGAAGTCTGTCACAGTGACCTCGGCTGGCCACACTGGCTGCTCAGCTCTACTGCAAGGTAACCCGCACGCGCAGTGGCTCCCCAAAGTGGGACTCCGGCAACACTCCTCTGATGGAAGAAAGACATCGCAGATGCCACCAGAAAGGAGAAAAGGGCAAAACCATCCGTTTGGCAATTGAAAACATTTTTAAATAGTTTTGAGTTCTTTTTTAATGAATCATTGACTAGAAAGGGGGGTCTTAATTAAAATAGGTAAAAAGCATCACTCCAGTGCCATGTGCTTTTAAGCAAGCCTGATCTAGTCAACAGGCAAAGAGGCAGTGGGCATGCAGAGATGGGTGGGGAAGGGACAAGAGCCCCAGCCCCAGGGCAGGAGGGCCAGTGCGGGGCCAGTGCGGGGCCTGCGGGAAGCCAGGAGGAAGGATGGGCGGACAGCACGAGCCCCAGCCCCAGGGCAGGAGGGGCCAGTGCGGGGCCTGCAGGAAGCCAGGAGGAAGCCACGGAGCCACGGTCAGGCTGCCGACTGCCAAGGTCGGGCAGCTGACTGCAGGCAGTTCCTCTGGATGCAGCAACCCTCTCAGAGCCCAACCCCAGGCTGAGCAACCGGTCCTGCAGTATGCTGCTAACTGGTCTCCTCAGGCTCAGGTCCTAAGAAGGGTCTGTGAGAGGAGCAACCTTGACCTGGGAGAGAGCTGGCTGCTCTAGTGCCCGGGCCTGGGGAGAGAATCAGAGCACACAGCCACCCTCCTCCTGCCCTCACCCAGAGCAAGTGGCATGCTTTAACATGAAGGGGCATTGGCATAAATCACGCGCATAGTTCTGAAAGGCTCAATGAGAAACACCAGGGCAGCCCCTCCCGCAGCCAAGTACAGGAGACCGTCCTCACCCCAGGAGAGCTGCCCTCACCCCAGGAGAGCCGCCCTCACCCCAGAAGAGCCGCCCTCACCCCAGCCATCCCCCTCCCAGCTGCAGCGAAGGTTAGCAGGGTCTCATCTCAGAGGCCGCTCTGGGTGACAATGCACGGGCAGGAGAGGCTATGCCAGGCCTACTCCCCTGGGAACTTCACCCAGGCCTCTGGCTAATGGCAGGAACTCTGCAGCAAGGGAGGAAGCCCAGCCACCCATCAGGAGGCCCAGCGCCCGGCAGGGTCTGGAAGCAGCAGTTTCCCGCCCAGGACTTCCCAGCTCACTCACCTGGCTGTTTGGGTCTCCGAGTAAGTTACATATGTGCGGCACGATCTTGCTTAGTGTTAGAGTCTGCGCTCCAGAGCTGGAAGCAAAGTGTCATCGTCAATGAGCGCCAACGGCCCGCAGCTGCCCTGCCTCCACCTCCCCAAGCTACAGCAAATCCCCTCCCTCTGCCCAGAGCCCACCCAGCAGGCCAACCCCACCGAATGCCCCGACAGGTCTTCGCCCATCTCTGTGGGACTGGTAGGCCCAGCTGGGAAGCAAGTGACCACAGGGCTTGCCTGTCCGCCAGACCCTCGGAGACCCTCCCTGCGTCCTCGGCTGGAAGTCCTCACAGTGCAACTGTCATGACAAGGAGCTGCCAGCTGGTCGTCAATCCTTCATCCGTGTGCACTGCAATGCGCTGGCACCAAGGCTAACATGTCAGCGCTAGCATGGTGGCAAGGGGGCCTAAGCTGCCGCTGGCAGTGCCAGCTTCCCATCTGGCTGCTCCATTTCCCTCCAGTTCCTGGGAAGCAGAGGGTACTGTCCAGGTCCTCGGGCCACTGCGCTACAGGAGAGAGCCACACGAGTTTCAGACTCCGGGCCGGGCCCAGCGCTGGCTCCAGCGCTCATCTGGGCAGTCCATGCAAGGAAGACTTCTATCTCTCCCTCTCTGCAACTCTGCCTTTCAAATAAGTAAAAAAAGTATTTTTTAAAAAAAGAAATAGAGAAAAAATTTACAACAAAATATGAACATTGGAACCCAAATGTGTGTGTGTGTGTGTAAAGCATTACAGGCGCCTAAGTCTGATATTAATAGCAATTGTGTGAAGGCAGGATAATTAGAAAGTAATCTGTTTTCTTCGCTATGTGTGCGTATAAAAAACAGTATTATTGTTAAAGTCAGAAAACATGATTTGAAACTTTAATTGCATAAGCACACAAAAGATTTTTTTCAAGATAGCAAGTAAGAAAATGCCAATTAAAACCACAACAAACATGGCATAAAATGGCTAAAACATAAAGAAATAATGCAGCAAGGAGCACCACTGCCAGCTAGGGCTGTGGAGGAACGGGAGCTTTTGAACTTGGCTGGTGGGAAAGTAAAGATAAAGTGGCAAATGTAGCCAAGCTTGGCAATCAACTACAAATGCCTGGGGCACTGAGGTTATGATTTCCAGAAGAAATGAAACACTTCTTGTGTAACCTGCACACCCATGGGCCCCTCAGCAGGTGCAGACTGCCCCAGAACACAACTATGCAAGCACATTCGGCACCCAGACGACTGTTGTCCCTGCCAGCAACATACGTGCCACCTTATTGCAAGGACACAGAGGGAGAAGGGCCCTCTCCACGGTGACCCACTGTATATACACCCTCGAATGGGCAGTAGAAAGGCAGTGTTTGCAGGGTTAGAACACAGGGGCAGGTGGCACAGGCATGAGTATGCACAAGAGAATGTGTATGTGTGTGTCTGTGTGTGTGTGAGAGTTGAAGAGTACTGGCAGGTATATGTGAGTATAAAGTGCATGTGTGAGTTTAAGTGTAGGAGCATATGTGTATGTACGTATGAGTGCCTCTGTGAGTGTGGTGTCTTACGGGTGACTGTGTGTGTGGGGGGTGTGTGGGTGGGTGTGTGTGGTGCCCTGCGGGTGCATGTATGAGTGTGTGTGTGTGTGTGTGTGTGTGTGTGTGTGTGTGTGAGAGTGTGGTGTCCTGCGGGTGCATGTATGAGTGTGTGTGAATGTGTCAGTGTGTGAGTGTGGTATTTTTCGCGTGCATGTATGAGTGTGTGAGTATGTCAGTGTGTGAGTGTGGAGTGTGTGTGAGTGTGGTGTCTTGCGGGGTGCATGTATGAGTGTGGCATGTGTGTGGTGTCTTGTGGGCTGTGTATGAATGTGAGTGTATATGTGTGTGTGTGTGTGTGTGTGTGTGTGTGTGTGTGTGTGTGTGTGTGTGTGGTATCTTGCGGGGTGTGTATGAGTGTCTGTGTGTGTGTGTGTGAGTGTACCTGCACGACCCTCGTGCCACTCTGCTCCAGGGGTACCTTCATATGGTCCTGCCTGCTACGTCACCGCCAACAGAGATGCCACCTGGGGGGAGGGGCCGGGACCCAAGGCGCTCAGACCACTTGTTCCTGCAGAGTGTCATCAGCATGGCTGCTCCTGAATGCAGAGTCCCTGGGAGCTCAGCCGGGAAGCCCCGGCTCCTGGCACTTACGCAGTAAGGGTGGCTACGAGGCACAGACAGATGCCTTCCCGCGTGCGGAAGTTCTTGTGTTTGAAGCCTCCGAGCATCCTGTCCCAGACGTACTGCAGACAAAAGGAAATCTGAGGAAGAGGCCACCCACAACAGGGTGGCAGCAAAAGAGAGCAACCCCCCCCCCCCAGCAGGTGTCACCGAACCCTGTCCTCACCACCCACTTAGCCGGCCCAGGAACATCAAGACACACTCATTTACACACCTACATTGAACTCTCCCAGCAATCGTGAGAGGGAAAGCTGAGGGGGTTCAGGACAGCAGGTCCCTGTGCTGTCGGCATGGGACAGCTGTCCCACCTGCTGTCTCTCAAGGCCCTCTGTTTACCAACAGTGGGCAGGCTGTGCCACCCGGGCCCTCAGCCCCTGCTCCCCAACAGCAGGCAGGGTGACCCGGGAGGGCAGGCTGTGCCACCCAGCCCTCTGCTCCTGCTCCATAACACTAGACAAGATGACCCAAGAGGGCAGGCTGTGCCACCCAAGAGGGCAGGCTGTGCCACCCAAGAGGGCAGGCTGTGCCACCCAGGCCTACTGTCCCCTGACACTCAGGGCCCAGGGCTGGCTCCAGGAGAGACCGAGAATCAATCCAGAAAGGAGGAAAAGGATGTGTGGATGCAATGAGCCAAGCACTCCATACCTGTGTAATCCAAGACACGCCTTGTGCGACTTGTCATTACTGATCTCTGCTGCCGGGCCAGATGCAATGCCATGAACATTGTCCCAAACAGCGCGATGCGCTGCAGCCCCGCCTGGCAGGCCCAGGGAACATCTCTCACCTACCTGGGGGTTAGCAGCTTGATCCATGATCTTTAGCAGCAGAGTCTGGTCCTGCTCCCTCACAGAGTCTTTAGCGTCCCCCAGTCTGTCTATCAGACTTGGCAGCACTGAAAACAGAAATGCGCATTAGAACCCACTTGGAGACCGTGGGGACCAAGTGCAGCAGCGGTCACGGAGTGTGGAGACCAACCCCAGCCCAGGAGCTGTGTTCCCGCTGTGCACAGGCCTCAGGAAAGCCACCACGAGCACTTGACCATGGCCTCCAGCCAGCCACCATACACTTGTAAGCTGACCCAGCACAGCAGCGGAAGGATGGGAGGAAAGAGTTAACACAGAGCTGAGGAGGGGGCGTGTTGGCACTGCAGCAGCACTGCGGGCATCACACCGGAGCAGCAGCTCCAGTCCCAGCTGCTTCCTGCCGCCTGGCTCAGGCTCCTGACTTTGGCCAGGCCGGGCCTCACTGCTGCAAGCCTCCGGAGGTCAATCCAATGGTGACAGGTTTGGGTCCCTGTGTGTCTGCCTTGCCAGCACATGACAAGAACACACTGCACTCAGAGGCAGAGCTGTCAGAAGCAACTGCACAGACTGTGGAGCCAAGCTGTCTCTAGACTCATGGCACCTGGGTTACTCTCAGAGTAAGTGGGGGAGCGCCTGTCGCGCACCGTGACAGCAGCCTCTGATGGAGGTGATGCCGTGGGAGCAGTGCGGCCAGCAGCCACCTGCACAGACAGCCAGCTGGTGGCTCGGTGATGCAGGCCTCTCCACAAGGGAGGGCTACGGGCACATACGCCTGCCGTCCTGCACGGCCAGAGCCGGGAAAGCCATGCAGGATGGCCCCGGGGAGGCCCAGCTGCAGCCACTGGCCCAGTTACCACATCCACCTGGGCTCTGGAGTAGCTGATGGATGGCCTGTGTGTCCCTCTCCCTCCAGTGCTGCCTTGCAAGTACATAAACAAATCGTAAAAAAGAAAAATGAACAGAAATGACAGGAGTGTTGCGTGTTTGCACAAAGGTTACTGCTGGTCCACACTAAAGTAAGGAAGGGAGGCTGAAAGCGCTGGCAGAAGGCGGGACAGGGGCTGGGCCAGCTCGGTCACCGGGTGAATCTGGCAGGGAAAGCTGGGGGCCTGAGGAGGAGCGGGGGTCAGAGGAGGAGGTGGGCCTGCAGGTAAAAGACAGGGGACCACAGCTCACCTGTGCCGATCTGCGCCTTGAACCGATCCTGCAGCCGGGTCACCAAGGCAGACAGGATGTCCATGCCCAGAAGAACCACCTGCAACGACAAGCACCAGAGCCGGTCAGAGGGCCTGCCGCGCAGCTCTCGCACCAGCTCCGCAGCTCAGAGCGCGCACACCCAGACAGCTGCTCGGCAGGCAAGGAGGGAAAGCACTCAGCGAGAGCAAACAGCGCCAGCCTTCTACCGGGGCTGCCCGGCTGGGGAACGAGAGCAGCCGAGCGGCCAGGCCCGCCCCGCTGGCCCCGCCCCTGGAAAGGCGTGCGTATGCAAATTGTGCAGCGGTCGGCGCATGGCCTTCTGGGTAAAGCACGAGCATCCGTCTGGCGGATCTCCGAACCTCAGAACGCAAGGAGTCGGTGATTTCGCATCTGAAGTTACCAGGGCTCGAAGAGCACCGGCTAGGAGGGCTGACGGCGGGCCTCGCGACTGGTCACCGCAAGGCTACCTGGGACTGGCATCCCCCAGGCCGCGCGCGCCCGCGCCCGCCTGCAACCATCCTTTTCTTGGGGTTGCGCTACTGTCCAATGAACGCCTGGTGAGGACAGTACTGCTAACGCCTACACAACACGCCCGCACCGGCGGAGCGACTCGCTCCTGCTGGGTGCAATTTTTGGAAAAAAGGAAAACTTTTTTCCACGACGTTTTATGAAAATAATAGGCGGTTTTTCCACTACCGCTTCCCCGGCAGTGCCGGCAGAGGGCGCTAAGCCAGCCGCCTCATGAACGCTTCCCAAGCCGGCTTCCCACACCTGCCGCGCTCCGACAGAGCCAAACCCGTCAATCGGTTAAGCTGCGACCAGAGGCTCCATGCCCGCATCTGCCGCTGGGCCCTCTGCACGCTGTGGCACCCCGGGCAACGGGAGCTGGTGAGCGCCCTCCCCTGTCGCCCAGTCGCATAGCACCCACAGCCTTCTCGACCTCCACACCCTTAGCTGTCTCTGCAGCAATCAGGCGGGACGGCGTGACAGCACTGCTCCTCGGCCACACAAACAGGCAGCCAGGGCTGGCAGAAGACTCTATTAAGTTTCATGTTTTTGAAAAGGAGAGTTGGAGAGGACAGGAGGCAGACACCTTTCATGCACTCCCCACATGGTTGCAGTGCTGAAGCAGGGGCACACCAGGAACTTCCTCAGGTCTCCCCCATGGGCACAGGGGCCCAGGCACTTTGGACCGTCCTCACGGAGCAGCTGAGCTTTAAACTGGCACCTGTGTGGATGCCAGCTCCCCCTTGCCGGCGCTCTCCACTACACCACAGCACCAGGCACAGACTCACCTGTGACATTACAGTCCTACGCCCTGCAGCACTGGGGCCCAGGCAAAGCCCTGCACTTTGCACTGGAAACCCAAACGGCTGAAGTCCAGCAGGGTCCTAGTCCCTGACTTCCGGGTAAGGTAACCGCGGTGGCTTATTTCTGCACGCAGCCCTCAGTTGGCTCCGAGATACACGCCTGCCCGCTGCCCTGGTTCCCGGCGGAGAACACGTGCCACTGAGAAGCAGGGCAGGCAGTGCAGGGGCGCTGACAGCAGCAGCGAGCACTCGGCACACGGCAGAGACGGCAGGAAGTAGCCAGACAAGTTGTCCGTGCAGGACGGAAACTCCAACGGCGAGGTGGTAGAAGAGATGCAGTGGTTCTCCAAATCAAAGAACCCTACCTCCAGACACAGCCCAGGTCCAGTCCAGGCCGAGCCTTTGCCACCCTTTGGGGTGTGCATTACCATATAAGATACAGCTCTCTGCAACTCTGCCGTGAAATCTTGTAAACAACCGCATACATGGACCACAAATAGCAATTTATCTGATATATTTGCTCCCAACAAGTATCAAAATTTAATATAACAGACAAGTAAGAAAATACTGTGAGCACCTGAAGATGCTCTGCACCAACAGAATACAGAAACGGACTCCTGCACTGCGGCAGTGTGGAGCAGTGAGCCCGCAGCCCCTCCGGGTGCGGAGCAGAGCCCCCGCCAACCCTCCGGGTGCGGAGCAGTGAGTGAGCCCCCGGCCGCCCCTCCGGGTGCGGAGCAGTGAGCCCCCGGCCACCCCTCCGGGTGCAGAGCAGAGCCCCCGCCGCCCCTCCGGGTGCGGAGCAGTGAGCCCCCGGCCGCCCCTCCGGGTGCGGAGCAGTGAGCCCCTGCCAACCCTCCGGGTGCGGAGCAGAGCACAGGGCCGCCCCTCCGGGTGCAGAGCAGTGAGCCCCCGGCCGCCCCTCCGGGTGCGGAGCAGTGAGCCCCCGCCACCCCTCCGGGTGCGGAGCAGAGCACAGGGCCGCCCCTCCGGGTGCAAAGGAGGCAAACAGAAAAGGACCAGGCAGCACAGGTGAAAACATCAGGACATGAACATCAGTAAACACAAGCCAGAAAGAGAAGCTTGATGGATTCAGACTAAATGAAGAACAAGTAAGTTTGGCATGTGGAAAACACTAAGAAAACAGAAGGTAAGCCTTTTCACCAACAAGGAGCCAAACGTGAAGTGAGAAGCTCCTCCCCCTCTGGAAGCCAAAGGCCCAGAAGGCCCAGAAGGCCAAGGGATGTCCAGGAGGCAGCCGCTGGGGGAACAAGAACCACATGTCACCGGCTCAAGACGCTCCACCTGGGCGGGCCCCCAGTGCCCTCTGGAGAGTGCTCCCGGGAGAAACACGCTGACCTCTATGCCATCAGCAAGCTCCTCCTGACCAGGCTTGCCCGTGAGGACAGGCGACACACTTGTCTTCGCTGTGGATGTCAAGGCCAACAAGCACCAGACCAGACAAGCCGTGAGGAAGCTCCCTGACACTGCTGTGGCCACGGCAACACCCAGGGAGAAAGAAGCCGAGGGTGCGGCTGGCTCAGACAGGCACTGCTGTGGGTGCTGCACGCAGCTACCTAACCCTGAATACTGCTTGCAACATTAAAAAAAAAAAAAAAAAACCCAAGTCACAAAACCAGAAGACAAAAATTACAAAACAATCAACAACAGATGTGATCATGAATGTATGAGACTTCCCATAAAGCAGCAGGTAGGCAAACCAACAGGTAAGTGCCTGAGGACATGCACATTAACAAACTGGGCAAGACCACGGGAACGCAGTGTTACGCATGCCAACACCCCTTCAAAGCCAGCATCCTCCCTTCCAATGCACCTGGAAAAGCAGCTGAGAACGGTCCATGCCTGTGCCACACGAGCAGGTGATCTGAATGGAGGGCCAGGCTCCTGGCTCCTGGCCCAAATCGGACTCAAAGCCACCTGTGCAGAGAACCAGCAGATGAACGTATTCATTCATATTCTCTCTCCCCCTTTCAAATAAATCTTTACAAGTGACTCAAAGAGACACTCAACAATACAGTAAAATCTCCTGAGATATATAGAGATGCAAAACGAGCAAATTCTAGTCTTAAGAGAATATCAAGGCACAAGGTGTGTGCCACACCAGCCAGGAGAATGAGGGGATAAATTCCGGCAATGCTAGGTCCCATCTGGAAGAGCCATGCTCACTGCTCCACACACAATGTTCAAGGGCGCCTTCAGTTCCCAGCCACTCCAGCTGTGTGCCAGGGCTCACTGCCCATCTCCCTCATGGCTCACTTCCAGTCCTGACCATTCCAGCTGTGTGCCAGGGCTCACTGCCCGTCTCCCTCATGGCTCACTTCCAGTCCCGACCACTCCAGCTGTGTGCCAGGGCTCACTGCCCGTCTCCCTCACGGCTCACTTCCAGCCCCGACCATTCCAGCTGTGTGCCAGGGCTCACCGCCCATCACCTCATGGCTCACTTCCAGTCCCGACCACTCCAGCTGTGAGCCAGGGTTCACATCACACATCCGCATTGCAAACCACTAATGGCAGGACCAGAATGGGATGGCCATGGCTCTCTCTCCAAGTCTGCTCACTGACCAAGCAGGAAAGTGTCTGCAGGGCAGCTAAGCCATCACTGGTCCTCACTTAGACACCTGCCTGTGTTGTTTTCCACCGAGACAAGTGTAATTCTGGGAGAAAGCAGCTAAAGGCTGACAGGCTTTCTGGGCCTATTAATGCCAACTCTTCTGGCTATACCAATATGCGATATACTTGTCTATTTATTTGACTTTCAATAAAAATAAATAAATTTAGATATAGAGAAGTTGAAAGAGAAGAGGATGTTCCATCTGATGATTCACTCTCCAAGTGGCCACAAAGGCCGGAACCTAGCTGAGCTGAAGCCAGGAGCCTCCTCCAGGTCTCCCACAAGGTCCCAAGGTTTTAGGCTGCCCTCTACCGCTTTCCTAGGCCACAAGCAGAAACTGGATGGGAAGCAGGGCCACTGGAATTAGAACTGGTATCCATGTGGGATCCTGCATGTGCAAGGAAAGGCTTCAGTTACTAGGCTACCGTGCCAGGCCCTCTATTCTATTTTTTTCAGATCTTGAGGGAAGTGGGCTGAATGTCCATCATGCCACTGTGTGCATGCCTGCTGAGACCACCCACAAACATGGTAGGGGTGTGCATGCTACTGGGGACTGGGCTCAGGTCAGAATGGGGACCACTGAGGGTTTTATGACAGATATAAAATAAATTTCTGAGGATTTTCATGGATCGGACCACTGCACCCACAAGGAAGTAACTGAGGCAGCTAAGATGGGGTGGACCATGAGGAGGAATCTGGAAGACACCCTTGGTCAGGCCTAAGCACCCACTTACCCGCCCAGGAGCTGAGGCTGGAGATGACCTGGGCCAAGCTAGATGACAACACCAGCTGGCACTCAGGAGAGTCATGTTTGGGAGTAGGTCTGTTAGAGGCTGGGACTGTCCTTACTAGGTGGGACACGGTGCTGTGGCCAGTGAGTGCCAGGGCTGGGGGTGGTCCACACTAGGCTGGACCATAACACTGCCAGCTCATGCGAGAACCAGGGTTGGGAGCAGGCCTGGGAGAGAATCTTTGAGGACACTCCTACTAGGCCACAGCACCCACTGAAGCATGCAAGAGCCAGAATTGGGGGCAGCTTGGCTGGGCTGCACCCACATGGGAGCCAGAGATGAAGGCGGAGCAGGCCAGGTTACACTGCAATGCCAACTGACACAC